ATGTATAAAAACGCTCAGATGGAGGTTTTTGTGTAAGAAACTAGTGGGCTGGAGTTGGCCTTCCCTGAGATCTCTGTGCTTATGGGAGGAACAGGTTGGATGAGTTTGTTTGGAGAGTTAGTGTTAGACATCTGAGGAAAGTCATATCAGGCAATTGGATATATGAGTCTAGAGTTCAGGGGTAGAGTCTGGGCTGGATATAAATTTAAGAGTCATCTACATGAGACAAGATGAGCTCACTAATTAATTGAATATGGATAGAAAAGAGACGAAAAGAAGAAGCCTAAGGACTGAGCAGCAGGGGCGTATATGTCAGCCCAGAGAAGGTGTAGGGGCTAAAGAGCCATCTGAGAGAGATCTCAGGGAAGTACTGTGTCTAGAGACCGCAAGTGAGGAGAAAGGAGGGACTGTCCAGGTCGTGGACTTTCGATGAGCCAAGTCACATGGAGCATGATGAGATCCCCCCGGGCACAATGGCAGGCACTGAGAACAGGAGATGGTCGTGCTGAAGTGGTGGAGGGAAGAGCAGGCTCAGTAGATGACAGGGATTGGGGAGGGGCGGTGTGGACAACTCTTCCCCAGTGTCTTATAAAGTGAACGAAGAGTGAGGTGCTTGAGCACAAGTGGACAGGGAGGATTGTAAGCTGTGGACAATAAGAGCCCAGATGTGATTTAGTATAGAGTGAAAACTGAATAATTTAGACAGGGGAAGGGATTGCTGGGGCTTTCCCTTGAATATTAATGGGCAAAGGAGACAGGGTCCAAATCAGAGGTGACACTCAGGGGCACAGACAGCTCCAGTGACAAGACAGAGGGTGCATAATGGGTCTGAGAAGGCATCGCACGGAGCTGGGTGAGATTGCTTATGATACCGGAATTTGGGTCATCAGTTCATAGGGAAGACAGAGGGAGAGTAGTATTTAAGGAGAAAGGAAAACATGTGGAGAGTTATCTAGGTGAGTGGGAAAGCAAACGTGATGAACCTACAGACCAACGTGGCCGGATTAAGGGCCCACTGTGTCCTGTTTTCATGAATTTAGAATGAGCCCATTCATGATTGTTGTGTCTACCCACAATTCCCTTTCCGGAGATGAAGAGGGGACTGAGGAAGAGTGGCTAAGTGAGGACTTGGAAGGGAGAAAGAGATGCTAGGTAGAGGGTATGAGGCATGGTTATTAGAACAGTAGACATTGGAATCTCTGCTTGAGAAAGAGGACAGAGGAAGAGAGAGAGAGTTATAAGTAAAAGAGTTCATAAATCCCAGGAAGCATGGGATGAATTATTGGACTAAGGTTCTTAGAAAAAGTGGGCAAGAAAGACTAAAAATCGTGAAAGGAAAGGATGTTTAAACCTGGATTTACAAATGTGGGAAGAGATAGGAAAGGGAAACAAAGGAGGAGGCAACAATGCTTGATAAGAAATGTACTCATTATCTTGCCCATGTAATTGTATTTTTACAGCAAAAAACAACAACAAAAAAATGCAGGACCATGAATGGTAAGGAAAGAAGAGAATATCTCTCCAACTTCAGTGTGTGCCTAGATCCCCTGAGGTTCCTGTTGGAATGCCCATTTTGATGCAGCAAGTTCAGATGGGCTGAGCCTAGGGTTCTACATTTCTATCATGCTGTCTGGGTGACACAGATCCTTTAGGTCCTAGAATCTCATTTTTCCAAGAAATAATCTACCAGGAATTTATAACCTTGTGGAGACATTCAACAATACTTACCAGAGAATCACATTTTTCTGAGGGTTGGTTTTAGTTTCTGTGTACTCCAGTATACTCTTTTGCAGAGCCAGGGTTGAAATCCTCTGGCCTCCAACATGTGACCCATGAAGCCATGGTTGTTATGGAAGATAGATCACTGAGCTAAGGGGCCAAGACATTGGATGTGTCCTCTTGTTGGTTATCAAAATGATCAGAAATTATGCTAGAAAAAGTGACTACACAAGTCCAAAGGTCTGTAGATAACCACAAAAAAAAGTGTAGAAATTAAACGATGTCATGAGATTGAGAGCAAAGATGTTGAGAGAGAAGGGACTAGAATCAGTAAGAGAGAATAGAAGGCCACCAACTTATTGCTGTGTTGGAATTGAGAAATTTGAGGATTTCTGATGAAATTCTGACACCAGAAAGAGTTGTGCTTAGGTGGGGGAAAGGCAGCCAGGCAGAAACAATCAGAAAAGATGGTAACGTTGTGGACACCAGGCCGGAGGAAGGATTTGGGGCATTTGGAATGAGAATGCGCCGCTCAGCACAGCCGGAAAGAACAGGAAGTCCACACCTGAACCTCCCCTAGGTGAGATGATCTCAAAACAGACTGTGGCTCACCTGTTACTGCAGAATCTCAGGGAACTAGCGGATCTTACCAGAAGCTGCAGGAACCGTTGGCTTCCTTCTTGATTGTTTCAGCCATTTTTCTAGCTTTAGAACTCTCAGTTTCTTCCAGAGAAGGTGTACAAGCCAGGCCAAGGTGGAGCAGAAAAAAGCAGAGCTTCTCTGATGACAGCTGTGATTGGAGAGGAAGACTGTGCCCCTTCCCAGGGCACTGGGACAGTACCAACAGTCGGGGAGGGGAAAGGGGAGCCAGGGAGGACTTCTCAGGGATTGGAGGCTCAGAGAACATAATCACTGCTAAAACATCTGTGAGAGATAATGGAGTAAAAAGTAGCATTGGATATAAAGCACAAAGGTCACCTCTCTGTCTGTCTCTCTCTGTGTCTGTGTCTGTCTGTCTGTCTGTCTGTCTGTCTGTCTCTCTTTCTCTCTCTACCACTCCCCCACTACTCATCTCTCTGCTGATACTGGGATTTAAACTCAGGGCCATGACTTGCTCAGTTTGTACTCTACCACTTGGACTGCTATTTTTGCTCTCACTAATTTTTCTGCCTGGCTGGCTTTGAACAATGATGCTCCAGAACTTAATATCCTGAGTAGCTAGAATTATAGGTATGAGCCACCAGAACCCAGCTTCATGTATACTTCTTAAAACATTTGGTGAACCATGCAAATGGAGCTCACCCCCTCCTATATAAATAAATATATAAACTCTTCAAATAAACAAGCCACATGTAATGCGCCTCAGGTAATTAGGGTAGCACCATTGTTAAACTGGTACCAATTTGTGTGAAGAAACTATTCTCTTACACAGCCACAACTGTAGGCTGGGTTTTCTGGAAGAAAATGTTGAGAAAATGCTTTGAATACCAGTCATTTTGGGAGGAAGGACTTCCAAGACATCCTCTAAGAAAAAAGGAGACACCAAATAATAGTGTAAGTCTCTAGGATATGGTTTTAACCAGAACCAGGTGAGGCACAACACAGATCTGACTGACCTTCCTGGACAGGGGCAGATTTCAACACTCATCAATCAATGGCCAGCAGGGAAATTTGGGGGAAAGTTGTGAACTATTAGCCAATAGAGGGAGAACACTTGGCTCTGGGGACTGCCTTTAAAGGAAGAGTATCAGTACAGATTGTTGAGAGTTTAGTATGGTGAGAGTAAAAACAATGTCAGAAGGATCTAAGAACAACTGAGTAGAATCCAATACTGCCTTCTCAAGGGAAAAGCTTTGTTCAGCATGGAAAAGACAACCTAGGTAAAGATCAGATTGAAAATATATTCATGTCTACTGTCACTTATTCTCAAAGCTGGGTAGGTGAATGTGCAGACTGTAACTGAAAACCACTCTCTTCTTCACTACCCTTCGTGCCAGTGTCAAGATTGTTTAATTATATTAGACTTTCCATAATTACAAACAGTTGTACTAATCTACATCTCTTATTCCCTTTTATAGTTCAGGATTGTGGTTAGATTTTGTTTCTCCTCCTCCCTCCCCTTTTAAACACTGACCTCTCTTCTAAAGAGTAGAGAAAGAGTATTGAGAGATGCTGTGTTCAAAATAGCTTAGAACTGAGCTATGTCAATCCATGGAACAGATTTAGAGATTAATTTCTGGACCTCTTTGGGTGCTAGAGAAGCTTTGGAAGATTTTGAAAATGGCAACAATATTGACTCACCACCCCTAAAGATTACTTGTATCAACAGTCCTTCTAATGCAAAAGAAAAGTTAAAGTGTAGTAAATATCAATATTGTTTTTCTTTGAAGGAAAATCCCGGTATAAACAAACAAAAGCCATTGCCAGGACAAGAAATAGTTTACCTTCCAAAGGGCAGCTTGTACAAGGTGTATTTCCCTCCTTTTCTTCAACAGGAATAAGATCACTCTTGTTAAACTAACATTTGCGTAGAAGAACAACCATTCCATTCTTTTCAACACTCCTGTTATTCATCAGTTTACCTGTTTCCAAACCATGAACTGAAGACTTGCATACTAGGAGTTTACAAAAAGAGAGTTCTAACCATGACAGACGAGCTACTTGGATTGCATTGAGCATTGGTAGACAAACTTTTTTCCCCCACAAAGTCTGGCTTAAATGCATCTCCAAATAGGTGCTTTGCTATATCTTAAAGCCTGCATTTTCAGGTAGATTTAATCCATATGTTCTAACAAAGCTAGGTGTAAATCATCCAAATGTTATTTTATTAGAGCTACATGATGTCCCAATGCCTTTGGAGCTTGTTTTATAGTCCTTCTATTCTGTTCTGAAAAGCAGCAGGTAAATTTCCAAAAGTAAACAAATCAAATTGCAAAAGGTTTGAGTTCAGCCTGAAATGCTTAGCCTATTATTTTTGATTGGGTTCTGAACTTGGCAATGCTCATTCTCTGTTCCTGCCTGCAGGGCAGAGTGAAAACAATTTGAACACTCTATTCCCCAATTGGTTCATTGACATTTGAGAATAATGTAGTACAGACAGAATCAGCATGTGTGGCAGGTGAGTGATACTTTCCATGACCTGGAAAGTTCCTTCCCCTGCTTTGCAGGAGTTTGTGGCATACAACAATGCGATCCACGTGACAGAACACACATGAAGAAACATCGCCATTTAGGGATCTGTGCTGGGGGACTTACCAATTCTGCATCTCTGCCTTTCTTAGGTGGAATGGTTGAAAAATGAAGACATAATTGATCCGGTTGAAGATCGGAATTTTTATATTACTATCGATCACAACCTCATCATAAAGCAGGCCCGGCTCTCAGATACGGCAAATTATACCTGTGTCGCCAAAAATATTGTAGCCAAGAGGAAAAGCACAACAGCCACCGTCATAGTCTATGGTGAGTGAGCTCCTGGAGTCTCAATCTATCTCCTTCCAACCACTGGGACTGGTTGAGAGCATTATTTCATGGGGAAAAGCCCATTTTCAGTGCTATTCTCCTCTCAGTCCCTTGCGTGGTCAGTGGGATTTGTCTGCTACCCAGACACTGCTCTGAATGATCGGGTTTGGCATTCTCCATGGCTTTGTCATCACTCTGTACGAAGGTGAATTCCCTCTGCCTCCTGAAGCAACTTCCTCTCCAGGCCTGCACTCCCAGGATGCAGACTAAGTTCAGAAGATAAAGCGGTGGAAGGCCAGCTCCTGATTTTCCTGTGAACTTAGTTCAGTCTAATGACAACTAGGAAAGCGGGGCCTGGCCTTTCCCCCCTGACCTCTCCAGAACTTGCACTGTTTGCTTCTTCTGAGGCACACAGAGCAATGATAAAAGCAGCCATGGTCAAGAGGCTCTCATCCCTAGCATTTGGCAAAGTCTCACGCAAGGCCTTCTTTCTACTGTGTTGTTCTGACCTCATCCCAAACCTGTGGTTTCTCCAGTACCAGTGAGTGTCGCATTGCATTTTGGTGTGGCGTATCTTTTATTCTGTGCCATTTAGTACTCAAGTGACTTCTCGTCATTTCACATGTGACTTCTAGGGGTTTCCTCTGCCCAAGCTAAGCTTTGTACACAAAGAGAATGATTGTACATTTAGGCATTTTTTTCACAATGGGAGACCCTCAACGTATATTTACTGTCACAGAAAAAAAACTGAATATTTGGTGAGTATTTTGAGGTGATACTTCCTTTTGAATGCTAAGTCCAGGTCTCCCCTCCACTCAAGCCAAAGGTACCTTTGCATCTCTACTTCAAAGCCAAGGACCCTCAGGTCCTTGAAGGGTGACAGACTGTGAAAATGGGGAGTCATTGGCCAGTATTTGGCTCCTGGTATTCACTGAGAATACTAAAACAGTTAAGAACATGGCACCATAAAAATATTCCACTCTGGCTTGTAGACATTATTTATTTATTTACTTAGTTGGGCAGTAAACAAAAGAAGTAGATGAAAATCCAATAGGAAAGACGGCTGCTTTATGCGAGAAGGAAAACAAACATTCTTTTCATGGAGAATAAAAAGTTGAGACCAAGAAAACTCAGCAGAATGTAATTAAAGCCATTTTTAATCTTTTAGCCTCATTGTAGAATTTAGTTGCTTTTTTAATACCTATTACTCTTCAGCCAATTCCAAAGATCAGTGTTCAGTTCTAATGGCACCTTTGGGCTTTCCATTTTTAAGACGTTTCTCATGACATGAGAAAGTTATGTTAAATACAATTTTAGGCTTTCACTTGTTAATCCACCTTGTGATAGTTTGAGTTTCAGGTTAACCAAAAAAAAAAACCTGAGAAGTAATAAAGATGGAACTTTTGCATTTTTCTGTAGTACCTTTTCACTGGACAAGCTACACAAACAAGAACCATAATTATCTTCCCAAGGCCAAATATGTGATAGCATAAAATTGTCATTTTAATTACAGGACAAATGCATTTCATTTTTTAATCCTCTGATTACACTAAGGTTTAATCTCCTCGTCCAGATAATGGCTATGTTGAATTGTAAGCAATTTCATTTCTTAAATCATAATAACCAGTTTCTTACTTTGTATCTTTGTTTAAACTTCCTGGAAGACTTGATTAACAGCACTTGAAATGCAAAGTAGAAATGAGGCCCAATCAGCAGGGACCAATCATAAATAATGAATGAAGAAAGACTATATATAGATGTATCATATGGATATTTAATATATATGCAAATCACTTCCGACATATAGCATTCTTTCTGCACCCATAATTGAAATGAGTGGATTCTTTTCAGAAAGGGTCAAACACAAGTAACTTAAACATTTCAAACTAAGACTCAAAACTAAGTTTCAGAAATCTTGTAATCTAGGAAAATGTCTTCCACTAGCTGCCTTTTATAACCTGAGTTATCTGAGCCTTTGTCTCTATCTTTGCCAAATATGTAACATCTAAAAGTTTCTGATCATTCATTTCTCATTAGAGTGTATTTTGTTGTTGGTGGTGGTGGTGGTTGTGGGGTATGAACTCAGTGCCTGGGCATAGTCCCTGAGCTCTTTTACTCAAGACTAAGCTCTCCCACTTTGAGTCACAGCCCCACTTCTGGCTTTTTTTGGTAGTTAATTGAAGATGAGAATCTCATGGGCTTCCCTGCCCAGGCTGACTTTCAACCTCACTCCTCAGATCTCAGCCTCCTGAGTAGTTAGGACTACAGCATGAGTCAGCCACTAGTGCCCAGCTCATTTCTCATTAGAGTTTTATCAGAGCAGTACAATATCCTATGGTCCAAAATATCAACTTGTTAATATGCTAGAGAGCAATTTGTACTGATTGCTCTGTGAAATTTGGAGTTGAGCAACTGAAGTTTGAAATGCTACCTGCCAATTACCTGCTTATCCTTTTGATGCTTTCATAAAATAAGCTATCCAACGATCCCAAGTTGGGCCTCAACACAAGTCTACAGAAAAATATGCATCTAACTAGTATTATATAGTTGGAATATATTTATATATGTATCTTGTACTTTTTAATGTCATTTTGGGGATTATACACAAACATACACCCACATATATACACCCATATATATGCATATATAATATACATAAGTGTGAACATACATGAACATATTGAATAATCATATGTTTATGTGTATATACATGCATGTATATACAAACACATATATTTACATATATGTTCATATATGCCCATGTGAAACTAACTAAAATTGTTTAAAAGGCAATACATTTTGCAAATGATAAAGAAAGATTATCAGTCAATCGTTTCTTTAGTGGTTTTTAAAAAAATGTTTCTAATGTTTTTAAAATGTCTACATGATTTTTCTGTAGTTCTCATGGTGTAGATCTACTTTCAGTTTGGGCATCAGCATATAAACATTTATAAACATCTTTTTGGAGCTTGACTGGGGAAAGGCATGTATTTTTTATGTATTAAAAAAAAAAGTTATCCAAGGAAAACAGAGAGTTGATCTATTTGTTTTTCTGAGTGAAAGCATCGTGGTAAATAATTTTGCCTCGCTCTGTGTTTAGATTTCCCAGCTGCACAACATACTCTAACATAATGTTCATGATGTCTTTCAGGATGTTTGTCACTGGCGAGATGACTTTCAGTTTGGGTGTTATATATGGTGTCCCTTTGTGCAGATGTATGAGCTTAATCCATTGTCTTCTTGCTTTCCTCCTCTCAGTTAATGGTGGCTGGTCCACCTGGACAGAGTGGTCTGTGTGTAATAGCCGCTGTGGACGAGGGTATCAGAAACGTACAAGGACCTGCACCAACCCAGCCCCACTCAATGGTGGAGCCTTCTGCGAAGGGCAGAGTGTGCAGAAGATAGCCTGTACTACGCTATGCCCAGGTGAATACGCCATCTTCTTATTCCAAACATCTCCCCACCTTAAAGAAACGTATTTTGGAAGTAGATACAAAGGCCTTTTTCTCGACCTGACTGTTCAATCCACATTATTTATCTCAATTCAATATGCATTGTTTCCATTGCTGAGAAATCTAGTACTTGTCTCCAAAACAGTACTGAACTTTGTTACCCAAACAGGCAAAGTAGTATAAAAGAGGAAATTAAATACCCCAAAACATATTCTATCTCTGATAGTCAATGAAACTACTGAAACTAAGGTTATGAGTTCAATGATTCAAGGAATTTGAGCAGCATTGAAAAATTACATGTTAGAAATAGCAAGCCTTAATCTTCAGAAAACCATGGAAATGAATGGGAATTGAAATATAGAAATGTCTTCTACTGTTATATTGAATATATGTTGCCAGTTTCTGGGCAAGGGCAAATAAAACGTTTGGAATGAATTCAAAGTAAGGTAAGGCTGCGTGACACATGTGCTAATGGATTTCGAAAATACAGTGCAGTAGCTCTTTATTATCTGCACATGTTGGTCATCCGTTTTGTGAGGTGGCTGCAGCGATACCTAGAGCAAGATTACACTTTTCTGCCCCCAAGAATCTTGCTATCCAGTATTTTCACAATAAAAAATAAATAAAAATTTAAAAAAAGAATCTTGTTATCCTATTTCAGATTCGTAATTACCCAGTCTAACCTGTAGGAAAGCTGAAGTTAATATTTGCCCCAAACCATATCCCATTAAGGTACCTAATTGTGCTTCATATCTTAGCATCAAGTGAGAATTATGTTGAGATACTCCATCACATTCATGTATTCTTTAGGATTGGTTTTCTGTTGGAAGCTTGACTATGTAGATACACGGCCACCTTACTCCTTACATTCTCTCTTGTGTCCTGTTTCTTCTTTAATGAGACCTTTGCCAGAAATAGGATTAATCAGTTGGAGAAAAAATATGATCTACATATTATATCCCCAAAGTGTTGATTTCCAAGTATCAAGATAGTTTCTCATAGTGAACACTTTCAGGGCTCTTGTTTATGGGAGAAACTCTGACACTTGAGTTTAAGAATTCAGATCTGATTTTATACTCTCCTGTACTGGTTTCTTTAGGACTGCACTCATCAAAGTGAAATATAACAGAGGGTCATAAGAAAAAGGGAAGGGGACTGCTCTGGGTACTGGGAGGATCTAGATCAAAGTAAATGTCTTCCATCCAGATAGTTTAAAGTTGTTTATATAGACAGTTCTCTATGATGGAAATACTGGTGCTTTCCTTACTCTTTTATTTAGTTGTGTTTATATCTTTATGTAGATAATATAAAATATATTTATATAGTAATCTGTGAAGTTATATATATATGGATTTTCCAAACTGTACAGCCTATTACTATTAAAATGGATATCATATTAATTAGCAAACAGTTTTTAGAAGATTTGTATGTTCAATAAATCACATAAAATTCTAGATATAAATTCAGAGACAACAAAGCATTTTTAAAACTTAGTTTCCACTTTTTAATCCTATTATTGTGAGAAATTTCAAAGGATGCATTTTTAAATATGACAGTAAAATTTGCTGTATATTTTTTTTCAAATTGGCATTTAACTTGTGTGTTTTTAAGAGTGAGCTATCTTAGTTCATTATCATTGAAATTGCTTATAAGTCAGCCACCAAAATTAGAAAGAATATGAGTCAATCCTAAAAGTGAATTACAACAAAAGTTAGGGTCTCTTCTAATATCATCTTTAAAATATATAGACATGAGCCGGGCACTGATGGCTCATGCCTGTAATCCTAGCTACTCAAGAGGCTGAGATCTGAGGATTGCTGTTCAATGCCAGTCCGGGCAGGAAAGTCTGTGAGACTATGACCAGGAAACTGGAAGTTTCCTTGAGCTGTGGCTCAAGTGGTAGGGCACTAGCCTTGAGCTGAAGAGCTCAGGGACAGCATCCAGGCCCATAGTTCAAGCCCCATGACTGACCAAAAGAAGATAGATAGATAGATAGATAGATAGATAGACAGACAGACAGACAGACAGACAGACAGACAGACAGACAGACAGACAGACAGACAGATAGATAGATAGATAGATAGATAGATAGATAGATAGATAGACAGACAGATAGACATGAATGCATCATCAAATAATGGAATGGTAGATGGTTGGAAAGTTAAAGCTTTTGTTTTTGCCAGAATCAAGTATTCAGAATAAAAAAGGGAAAATAAAAGTGTATATAGAGAAGTGAATGACAGGAGAGAGACAGAGATGGATGGATGGATGGATTTTTTTTCCTTTCCTGTACCAACACTTTCTCCCAATGCCATACAAATTTCCTTTTACTGCACAAAGGCACTCTGAGTGAAAGAATCTTGGACCCCAATAGACACTCCATAATTTCTAGTACAAACTCCAAAAGTTTCGCCTTTAATGAAAAAAAAAAAAGAAAGAAAGAAATCGACATCATTTACATAGCTCCTGGTGACATCTCCAGTCGATGTGCCTGTAAGCCACCCTAAGCTCTCCATTGAGTAAAAAATGATGCATCTTGTAAGGAAAGTTCACAGAGCATACATAAGCATGAGTTAGCACATTCCATTTTCCAGTGGCTGAAGTGAGTGTAACATTTCCTGGTGAAGCCTTTTCTGTAGTAGTTGGTTTCATTGTATTGTAGCTGAGCTCTCCTCTCTAGAACCTGTGATCTGATGCTGGGTTTTCTTGTGGCAGTGGACGGCAGGTGGACCCCCTGGAGCAAGTGGTCTACATGTGGCACTGAGTGCACGCACTGGCGCAGGAGAGAGTGCACAGCACCAGCTCCCAAGAATGGGGGCAAAGACTGCGATGGCCTGGTCTTGCAATCCAAGAACTGCACGGATGGGCTGTGCATGCAGAGTAAGTAGAGTTGGGCAAGCTGCAGGCACCAAGGGGCCTGACGCGGAGCCATTTGCTTGCCTTTGAAGGAAGGTTTAGAAATGAAGAAGTCTTTGAACAAGAATAAAAAGGAAAATGGTGCATCCACATCCTAGGTCTCTCTCAAAGAAGAGCTAATGTCTCAGGAAGTAGAATGAATAATAATTGTGTCCAGTTAACCAATGGCACGCAGTATATAAGCAAAGAGTGATCTAGTCATTTCCATGGAGGAGTTGTCAGACTCAGACCAAGGGACCATGATTCGGTATTAGATGTGAGCACAGAAGAATGCCTATGCTTTTCCTAGAGTCCAGACATGACTTGTGAAACACGAGCTGGTGTTGCATGCTTCAAAACCAACACCTACCTCACCAATGTCCTTGAGATGCAAACTTTATAAACACAGTAAGCATTTCTATAGATGTATTTAATCCATTTAAGATAAATATTGAGGAAGAACCTCTTCACAAAACCTTGAAGGTGTTGGCTAGGTTTGTGCCAGAAACTATAATGTAGTATGATTTAATTCACTTAAAGCACAAAAATGTTGGTAAAATGTTTCAGTTTGTGCAACATATGAAATCATATGCAGACTCTGAAAAGACAAAGTAGGATGTGAGAACCTATAATAAGTACTAATATTTGGAATGAAATTTATATTGGGATAAAATGAGTGTACAAGTTCCATCGTGGGTACAATATGCTAAATAGTCTCTATTTTTTATGTCTTTGTTCCTTAGGCTCTTTTTTAGTGAAATGGTAGTTTATTTCTACTCTGCCAAAGTTTACTCCTCAATCCAAGAGTCCTTCAGAAGTCATTTAGTGACTCTTTTCCTGACCAGGAAATTAAGGTGCTAAGAATTTTTCTGAAATCACACACACTGAGGTGAACGCATGAAACAGAGTGCTATATTTGGATGTGAATTCATGGTAGCCAAATGTTGACAGTCCTCGTAATGCATTCCAAACTGCTTGCAGAATGCAAGCGAACAAATGTCTTTGTGTAGAGAAAGTTGTATTTGTGATTTAAGGAAAATTATTTTGTTTCTGATGCACATACAAAATTGTTTACCTTTCCCAGTCTGTGCACACAGAGAACTTTAAAAGAAATCATACTGAAAGTACAAGTAAATAATGATGCTGCTCACACTGAATTCAAAACCTCCATTGTCATGTTTTCCATACTTAGTATTTGCTGGAGAGTGGGTTACTGCTGAGTAGAAGGCATAGCTCTGGTCAGGATTGGGAACTCTCACCAAGCAGTCACTAAGTGTCAGAAAGGCAAGAATGCAAAGAATTCAACTGTTTGCCAACCATGAGACATTTGCTCCTACTGGCACACATTTGAATTCAGGATTTAAAATAAATGCAGCCGGACACCTGTGGTTCGCATCTATAATCCAAGCTACTCCGGAGGCTGAAATCTGAGGGTTGTGGTTCAAAGCCAGCCTGAGCAGGAAAGTCTCCAATTAACTACAGAACAGCTGAAAGTGAGCAACAGCTCAAGTGGTGGAGGGCTAGCCTGGAATTAAACAAACAAACAAACAAACAACCTTCAAGGCCCTGAGTTCAAGCCCCAGGGTTAGCACGCATGCACACCTACACACACACACACACACACGTATATGCACATACACACAACATAACATGCATATTTTTAATCAACTAATTTATTATAGAACAAACAGACTCAGGTGATTTAATGTTATTTAATGTCTTTAGAGATTTTTACATTAGAGATTTTGTATACTAAATTACTTCCTTCTTATTCCTGTCTTCATACTTTCTTCTCTGAATGCTTAGAGATTTATTTTTAGTCTTTTATTTTTTTCTCTTATTCTTCTCTACTTTCTTCTCTCCTATTCTTTCAATATTTACATGTTTTCTGTCTTAAACTTTCTTCCTCTTTTAATGTAAAACTCGATCTTGGGTGGTTTAATACATAGAGTCTATGCTGAAAATTCCAGAGGGCAGTGCATTTAGTGAGAAGCACAGTGCTACAGTTTAGAACATGGAACTTCATCTTGGTTACCCAAACTGACACTTTCTAAATGATCACATAGGTAAAACACAAACATGAAAAACACAAACTAATATGTTCATCACAATGCAACTCCTTAAATCTAGACAATTTCTTACCGCATTAACTTAATTTTTCCTTCTGATTGTCAATAATAATGCCCCTTGATAGGTATGCAAATAAGGATGAGGATTATAGCTACCACCAGAATTTTGTGTGGTTTGTTATGTTTTCTTTTCTTTTTAATCAAGTCTCTTGGTAGACTGAAACATTTAGGGGCTTTGATTGAAATCACTGGGGTTATAAAAACTATTTCTTTCTGCAGCTCTGATTTGCTATCGTCACAATCCCTACTAAGTCAATAAACTCTTTCACCTGCTCTCTCTAGTCCAACAGAGAATTGTAGTCTATACTGCTATTGATTTCCTCAGTGATAAAACCACAGAGATATTGCTGTGCTATGTAATTATAGTATTTTACAGTGAAAGCTATAGCTTCTGTTTACCAGTAAGCTTGGTGTTTCTGGCAGAGTATTACTGCCAAAGCCTTGTAAACAAATAATGCTACCTTGGCCCTTATTTTGGTCAACAAAAACTTTCTAATGACAAAACCATAAAACAAATGTAAAGGAATAAGGTTTATCTAAGGAACAAGAGTAGAGGAAACAACCAAAGAGTTGCAGTTACCGTTTAGGAATAAACATTTAATATTTGCTTTGGAGGAATCAATGTCTTGAATGAATTAATACTTCTTTATTATCTCAAAATAAAGCTTACTGACCTACCCCTGAATCAGGTACAAAATACAATCATTGAATCTACTCAAATTTATATAAAAATATTTTACATATAAATAAAGGTATAATATTAGTTAAGAGAAATTCAGTTTATAAGGAATATAAGACTTAGAGTGATCAAGATAACATAGTGCAGAATTCTACAACAAGTTAAATTAGCAGTTAAAAGCAGTAAAATGTGAAATATGTAGAAAATATTATTTTTTGGGGGGAGGGTCCGGTTGTGGGGCCTGAACTCTGGGCCTGGGCACTTTCCCTCAGCATTTCAGCTCAAGGCTAGCGCTCTACCACTTGAGCCACAGCGACACTTCCAGCTTTTTTCTTTTTGCTTATGTGGTGCTGAAGAATTGAACCCAGGGCCTCAAGCATGCAAGGCAAGCGCTCTACCACTGAGTCACCTTCCAGCCCCTGTAGAAAATATTATTAATGCTTAGTTTGTTCAAAACAACCAAATTCAGACATTTCTTCCTGAAATACCTGCTAAAATATTACAAAAGCCAAAAGAGGCAGGAGAGAAGGATATAGGTCCTAATGATTGAGAGTTAAGATTTCAGTGTGAGCAGGGACAGAAGGCCTGTGGTTGAGATGTGGAGGAAGCCAGCGCCCTGAACGCAGCAATAAATTCATCAACAGCTGCCTCACAATGAACTAGAACTATCATCTAGAGCATTTCTAACCACCAGCCCAAGGAAGCCACAGGAAAATTCATGGGAGGAAAGAGGAAAATAAGATCCTCACTTAAATAAAACCTATACTAAAACCACAATGCTACACCTAGTTCTGCTATGGAATCTAAGACACAGTTCAAGCAACGTTAAAAAAAAAAAAAAGGGCAATTAACATAATTGCTAAAACTTCTGGAACACTAAGGGAGACAATAGCAAATCACTCTATAAGGTCTTTGCAACTTGAATGCATTGATCAGTGAATAAATAGTTCACTTTAGAAAATGAATTTACAATGAAAGGTATTTACAATTTACAATGAGATTGTATGAACTAGCCACCCCTCGGTTTTGCAGTATAGTTTTGAAATAGGATTACATGAAATGATTCTGACAAGGAGTGCTGAACACAAAGGAAAAGAGATATAAAGAATAAGAAAGCCAAGATATAAAGAATAAGAAAGCCAAGATATAAAGATATAAAAATACAGAAATATAAAAAATAAAACACTAAGCCAACAAGTGCGTTTATCTTTATGTTGAAATACAATTTTACCTGACAGCTCATTTAATCTTTATAATGAATTTGTGGTACGTCCTACTCTGTCATGCTTAACATATAATAGCTTAACTCATGCGTACCTCTTATTCTGATAATAACAATGCAAAACCTATATATGTGGCTTTATCCAGACAGGAGATGCATCTATATGCATGAAGATGCTATATTACAATTCTAGATCCTTACATCAATAGATTCTTACAACTATTACTCTGGATTTGAGCTTTTAGAATACACTAAAGTTTGGACAGCCATCAGCCAGATGTAAGAGTTCATCACCTTCCTGCTGAAGGAGATGAATTTCAAAAACTGCAATTTACAAACAATGGCCTGGGATTGTGCCTGCATTGTACTTCCTGACTCTGGGAAAGTAAAACGTTAGACATTCTTCACATTGTGCACTTTCTAATTCATGAAAACATTTGCATGGCATAGAGCTCTTCCATGAATTCTCAGCAGAGGAAGTAGAAAGGTCTGTGTGTAAGTTTCATAGTGGGCTTACTGCATACCCGGGACCCCCAAATCCCAGGTGACTTTAATAAAGGGAAGTCATTTACTCCACAAACCGTGTCCTGGCATGACTTCAGAATGATGTGTTTCTGAGTGTCGGTGCTAAGCATTCAAGAAGGTGCCACTGAGTCTCCTGTGAAGTTTTGTAAGCATAGTAGTGAGCTAGGGAAACATAATGGCGAGTGTTAGACAGTGCGTGCTTTTACCTGTAGTTTAGAAGGAGCTGATGTCATGGCGTTTGTATAGTTCTTCATATGTCTGGTGCTCCGCTGCCAAATAAATATTCTGTCTGTAGACATCCTGCCCTACAGAGTGCTTCACAGGCGCTGGTAATAACAGTGTGGTTTGCTTTGTTCCTTCCTGGTAAAACGTCTTCCTGCTTTTGAAAGCAGGGATGTGGTTAGAAACTTGAGCCCACGAAATGTGATGA